CTGAGTCAGTATTAACAACTGATTAACTAAACTGCACTGTAATTTAGATAAAATTACTGTGTCTCACTGTATATTACATGCAAAATCCACATAAATTGTCATTTAACCAACAGTACTGCACAAGCAAACACCTTGGTATATGAAAACTACATCATAAATTCAACGTTTCCATACGTGAAAACTGCATCATAAATTCAACATCGCCATGTGAAAACTACATTAAGTCCTTCCTTTAAAAAATGATACTGTTTAGCTTATTTTAAGAGGTTCAACTTTCGTATATTTGTAACTATCTTTAAGCTCTTCAGTTTATAATTCATAAAAAACATCTTTTGTATTTAAAATAAACAATCCTATTTTAATCAGTGCATGAAATTTGCTTTTCCTAAAAGTTCATTTGAATGATTATTCCTTTCCCCCCTAAGAAATGAATTTGGTAACGTTTTGAGAGGTATGTTTATCACAAATTCTAACTGTAAATGTATTTACGGTTATCTTCAAAAGAAGTTTTGATTTTTTTCCCAAAAGAATCCTAAAAAACTTGTAATAAACCTATAAAGCTGATTTGCATATTTACAAAATTTTGAATAGCAAATATAGGCAACTCATTAAAAAAAAAAAAACCACACATTTGTTCAATGGCTATTAGTGAATTGCCAGGTACAGTGCGTACCTCTAAGGGATCACCTAATAATGACAAAAACGATGTCCGTCAAGTAAAAATCTTGACATACAAGCCATCCTTCTTCCCAGTACCTGCCAAGTGATTTGTTCACTGACCACTGTCACGTTCAACCATGGTGCCGCACCCCCCTCCACCCGCACCCAGGCGGGACGTGGCTGCCTGTCATGAGATGAAATCTGCTGGAGTGAAGCCGTGTCCGTCACAGCAAGCATTCCAGATTCTTAAAACGACCAAACACTTTGGTATTAATACAATGTATTCCCTGTTTTCTCAAATATACAAAATATACATTTCCAGTTTTTTTTGTTTTCTTTTCTTTCTCTCTTTTTTCTTTTCTTTCTTTCTCTTTTTTTATATATATATATGAATAATAAAGTTTGTAGTTTAAAGGTTGCGGAACCGACTGCGGCGCGCGCGCGCGGCGGAGAGCGTGGCGCCGGGGCTCAGTTCTGGTGCCTCTTCATGTGCAGGGCCAGGTGGTCCGAGCGCGAGAAGCTGCGGTTGCACACCCCGCACTGGAACGGCTTGGCGCCCGTGTGCTTCCGGTAGTGGCGGGTCAGCTCATCTGATCGTGCGAACCTCCAGTCGCAGCCCTCCCAGGTGCACTTGTAGGGCTTTTCACCTGTGACAACCAACAAACAGGGTGAGGTGGCCTGCTCAGAGGACAACTCTAGATAACACCTGAGGATTTTTTTTTTTTTTTTAAAACCAGGGGCCAAGCACAGGAAGAAAGGATCATGCATTCCATTATGAACTAAATAAATATTACAGTCCCCCTCAAAGCAATCCAGCAAACTCATTTCACAGAATGGGATTTAACCTGTAATTATATACAGAAAGAAGTATTTTGCTTACTCTTGAAAAACTGAAGGCCAAATTTAGCCACATGCAAAATGCATCAGTGCCCTTATTTTCTGTGTACTCCTGCACAATCCGTGAAGTGATTAGATTGGGCCTGAATGGCCTTATCACTGTGCAAACACGCTTTCTTCGCAAACTAACCCAAATTAAATTACTGTAGGGCTAGTGGCTACATGGTGGGTGAGGGGGCACGAAAATTTTAGAGCTACTCAAGAGGAAGCTGGTCAAATCACCTTCAAGATTAATTTCTTGTACCACAATTCCTTTGCTTGAAATTGGTCTTTAACGTCTAAATTAGGCTGATTGAAGCTTTCAACACATAACCCATGACCTCCTATAATGGACTATTCAGACATTCTAAGGAAAATCTCCTTAGTTTCACACTAGCACACACATTCACATCCCTCTTTTGAGACTGAAGGGAAACAAAGTTAAAACATTTTTAAAGTTGAATGGCTTAAAGTCTAAAGGCTTAATGCATCTGATATTTAATAAATGTCTTGGCCAGACCCCCAAGTCAGGTACTGATTAGTTCTCACTGGTACAGGTTCAGGCCATGAAAGAACCATAACAATCCTAACATTTGCTGGTGTGCATGTAAATTTTCTTCCTTAAGAAACATTTCTTTGCACCAAAAAAGTTACTATGCTGGGCAGAATGGAGCATGCCTGTAATCCCAGTGGCTGGGGAAGCTGAAACAGGAGGATGGTGAGTTCTAAGCCAGCCTCAGCAAAAAGTGAGGTGCTACA